AAAAAATAAAATAATTTAATTAGTTCAATATAAAAAATAAAAAAATTATTTAGTTTTGGTTCTTATTCGATTTTTCGGTTCTTGGTCTAGATCGAAGACCGGACTCAAACCCATCGGTTCTCAATTCGAGTACCTGTTCGGGTATTTAATTTATGAAAAACCGTTCGGTTTGGTTCGTTTCGAGACTTTTGGACACCCCTAGCAGTGAAGGACAAAAGTCTGAAGATCAAAAGAATATTTCTTTACGAAAGAATACCACCAAATATTAGAAAAATTTACAAAATGTTAGAACACCAGTCTAGATATAAGTATGTGATAGGTCATAATAAATGAGTTATAAATTTTTGTATTTAATTGAATTTATAATTTAATGATACAAATAATATGATGCTAAATAATATTACACTTTACAAAATACAACCTCAACTTAAGGTATATCTACACTTTCCTCTCCATTAAATTCTCCAAGGAAACTTCGTGGAAGCTCACTCATGGCTCCTGGACTCTTCTCATCCATATAAGTCTCATTTCTCCCTCACCATTTCACTCTCAAACCCCTAACTCATTTCCACAATGAAATTCATCAAATACGTTCCTGAAAAGCTCTTCAGGAGGAAGAAATCTCGACCCATTCCTGGATCAGAATCCGACTCAGCTTCCTTCAGTTCGTCGGATGATTCTGAAACTGGGTTCAGTAACCCCACAAACGGGTCAACCACGCTAACCAGCATTCTACCTGCCAAAGAATTGTCGGAATTTGAGTTAAAACAAGCGTTTGAATTGATAGACAGAGATGGTGACAGGAAGATAAAGAAGGAGGAGCTAGAGGCGTTATTGATTCGTGTCGGAACCGAACCGTCGAGGTAGGAGGAGCTGAGGTTGATGTTGAGCGAAGTAGATATAGATGGCGATGGGTGTATTAGTTTAGGAGATTTTTATGCGATCGACTCGGCTTTTGAGCCTTCGGCGTGTAACGCAGATAGGGGTGGACAAAACCCGATCGAACCCACCAAAACCATCCAAACCGAACCAACCCGACCAGGTTGGGTCGATTTTTTTGTTGTTTTTACGCGGGTTGGGTGGGTTGGCTGTGTTGGTGGGTCGGGTCGAGTCAGGTTATGGGTTAACTCATGAAAATCGAATAAATCCGCACAACCCAACCCGCCACTTTAAAAAAAATAAAAGAAATAAAAGAAAAATAAAAATAAAAGAAATAAAATGACTAGAAAAGTAAAAGAAACCTAAAAAAGTATAAGTAGATAGTGTAAATATAATT